TCAGGCCCGAAGAAAGACAGACCGACTTACCATGCTATACCGCATACAGCATAATATCGTCTGCACAGATGGTCTTAGGGGTAAACTACAGCCTGCCCCAGTACGTGAGAGAAGGGTGCACGGCCAACAGTTTGTACAGCCAGGTGGTAGGACCCAGTACCGTATGGCCTCATTTTTGCCACGTACTGTCAAAGAATGGAATGCTCTGCCTCAGACAACGGTGGAAGCCACATCCGTTGACACCTTCGTGTCTAGGGCTTCCAAACTACATCAGTCTTAGGTTGGTGACCTCTCGCCTCCTTCAACTAAAAGTGACAGAATGATCAACTTGATGATAGCGGTCACTTCAACTGGAAGAGGAAGAGGACCAGTAATCATCAACATGTACTTGGTAATTGGGATTGGTATCACAGATATTTTGTTCTAAAGGTCTGCATCAACAAAACAAAATAGTGTGGCAAGCAGTCGGGACATGTATTATTTTACTGATCTCTAATCCTTGCTTGTCTTATCCAGGTGTTCCAGGTGCACAAGGTGTTCCCTACACGACTGTCAGTGCAGCTGGAGGCATGCCACAGCAGCAGGTGTTCATCGCCCAGCACCCATATGCCACAGGTGCTCCCATGCAGCAGGGGTACTATGGTGCTCAGGCTCCCCCTCCTTACATGCCACAGTCCACCATTGGGGCAGCAGCTGGTCAGCCACCTGCAGCTGGACAGCCACCTGCAGGGCCACCTGCAGAGACCAAAACCCAGCCACCTGCCTAGAGGCTGGAGTGTACCATATAAGCTAAAAGCTTATGTGTGACAAGATGATAAAAAATCATTGTTGCTAATGGGCCTTCTACCCTGCCTTTTTGTGTTTGTGTCAAAGGTTTGCTGTATCGTTTTTTTTTCTGCATTTGGTAACAGTTTTGTAAGTTATATATTGTCTATTTTTATATTGTCTATTTTTGTGAGAATGCGTAACAAATGGTACATTACAAGTAACTTGGTACATTACAGGTAACTTAAGTCTTATGTAACAATTAGTATTTGGGTAGAATAGTGATCACACCTCCATAAAATTGGAAAGTGTTACTGTAAGCCCTAATAAGATACTGTTAAATAATGATGTGTGCATTCTAAATTTTACTATATTCCTGCACAATACAATGTAACATTACATGTATTTCATTTTGACTCTCTGATGTAGCTACCCAATACTGTCTTGAAGTATAACTTACTGTGTTTGTAACAATTGGTATAGAAAATATGGATGAATATGGAAAAGTAACAATATCAAGATGATTTTAACGGACCAAGTGTGGACTTCTATAAGACTAGAAACAGTGATAAGGAAACATTTCATTTTGAATGCGACAGTTGCCAAGTTGCCAAACAGCTATCTCTACTTGATATGCAGTACAGTTTTGCACAATGAGATCCAGCACAATTCATTTGTATTCCATATATTTATAGAGATAATATAACATATTTTGCTAGATTGCCAATACATCATTTAAGACTGTATATACGTTAACGTTGCAGTGTGCTGTGACAGACTGAAGTTCCCTTACACAATATGAAAAGCACAAGAATGAATGTTACAAAAACTTGAATAAATATGCTACTTGGATTTTGGGTATGTTGTTACTTTTCACCCTCAGCCCTGTGTTTCCTACCGAACCCACCTTTTATTTCTTCCAGAAGGATATATACAATTTTTCATTGGCATCTTCTTTTCTTTTTTTTTATAGAGAAATCACTGACAATAGGAGTCTCTTACATTGTTACGGTGCAGACCTTCATTAAACTGCTAGAGGCCGCTTTTGGTCTATTCACTCGTATTGTAAAACCGTAACTTCGTGGCCCTCTAGACTGGGAGCTGAACTATAAGCCATGCATCAACACAAAGTATTGCGTATTTCATGGTGGTCGGGAAACAGGAAACAACATTTTTTTTTCCCTAGGCCTTGTCAGCAACAACCCTAATACGTCACTGGGTGTGACGTCACCACACCCGGAAGTGGCAGACATTTTGTGCTGGCAAGCTTCACAACTCAAGGTGCGTCACAGGGAAAATAAGGCCTTTATAGCGTTCTTGTAACACTTTTAGTCACGTAAAGACTGTGGTGAGAGCAAACTGTGACATGATTTGGTTCGAAGATGGTGCTATAAGCCCTTGAAGAGCTCTATGGTCAAATGTTGTTTCGTGAATATTTAGTCACGCCTACATGCCATGGTATCTAGGGATACAGTAATATGATACTGCTTGTTACAGGTTCTGTAGATCCTTAAAGTACTATTATCTTGTAAATTCCATAAACATAAAGCCATCTTTTGTTTCACAACATTTTGAAACCTTTGTGTAGAGGGCCTAGGGGATTAGCAAGTTAATCTGTATGTAAGGCCACACTGACTTAATTTTATGGATGACATCCTCTGAAGACCCCCAAAGTTTAATAGTGCGCGCGGCGAATAAAAAAAAAATTGGATGTCATCCATAGAATTAAGCCGGTGTGGCCTAAGTATGTAACTTCATCATAGTAAATATAAAGGGAACACTTAAACACACTGTGATTTCAGACCTCTGGTCAGTATTGGGACATCCATCATGTAATCTTTAATTTCCGCTGGCTCCCAGTCAGAGCCGTTGCCTGTCCTTTTGACCTCCTGTCATTCTGCCTGTCAATATTTCTCAAACCCAAGTGCTGTCAACCTACTTTGCCTGACAAGCAAACACACAAATCTATAACGCAATTAACCCACCGCTCAGCCACCAAAAACAATACTTCCAATTCTCTTCCTGGAAGTAAAATGTTTGTAACTTTATTCACAGACTTCGATCCAGGACTGGTTTACCGTAAACCATGGCGTACAACGGGAAGTACATGCATGGCATGGGCTGGACCCTTGTGGTGATGGGAACTCTCAACATTATCCTGGGTATAGCCGCCGACGCTGCGTTTGGGTCCATGGGCGCATT